GTTGATGATTTGATTAGTGGAGGAAATTCAGTCGAAGAAGCAAGACTTGTTATGCAAGAGACAGCTGGAATCTTGGCATGTGGGAAGTTTAAATTGAGAAAGTGGTGTTCAAGCCATCCCATGGTACTGGACGGCGTAACAGACTGCGACAAGGAATCGCTCATTAGGTTCAATGATGGCAGCGACATTACAAAGACACTTGGCCTTGCATGGGATCCGGCATCTGATCAACTTCTTTTCTCATATCTAGCCCTGAATTCAGCCTCTAAGCCCTACAAGCGCTCTGTTCTCTCGTCTATTGCTCGGTTTTATGATCCCCTCGGCCTGGTCGGCCCAGTAATAACGAAGGCTAAAATTTTCTTGCAACAACTCTGGAGGTATAAACTTGATTGGGACGAGAGTCTCCCGTCTGCATGTCACACTGCATGGCTAGACATTTGCAGCAACTTTGGCAATGGTCTTAGTAGTGCATTTCCCAGGCTATCTTTAATACCTGGATCGAAGGTTGAGGTCCATGGATTCTGCGATGCCAGCATCGAGGCATACGGAGCCTGCATTTATATTGTATCCAGAGGTCAGCATACCATCAGCAGGTTACTTTGCTCCAAGTCTCGAGTTGCGCCTCTAAAAACGCTCACGGTTCCCAAGCTGGAACTATGCGGGGCAGAGTTGCTTGCGCGTCTAATGGATGAAGTGGCTCGCTTAGGCATTTTCGCAGGCGAGTTTCATTGTTGGTCTGACTCTACTGTTGCGCTTTCTTGGATCAATGACGAACCCGGACGATTTAACGTTTTTGTTTCAAATCGCATCGCCACGATACAAGATCTCACATCAGCAATGGAATGGCACTATATACCTACAACACTGAATCCCGCGGATATATTATCTCGGGGTGCATTGCCCTCGGATTTAAATGCATCATTGCATTGGTTCAACGGTCCAGGTTTCCTCTGTAAGCCCAGATCTCAGTGGCCAGTCTCAGCACTTCCAGAAAGAACTTCAATTGAGCGTCGAAGAACTGTGCTTCTTGTAAAGGACGCAGTCCATGATGTCTCTATGGACTGCAAGTTTGTGAATTCTTTCGGCCGCTTGCAGCGTACGTTTGCATACGTATCAAAGCTTATTAAAAACAAGTAAGAAGACTCTAGTCGAGACTGCTCAACTAGGAGATACCCTGAACCCTCTAATCTGATATTCTAATCACTCTGCACTTCTTTTCGGCACACGTACGTACACATCCACGTATTATTCTTTTCGGCACACGTACGTACACATCCACGTATTAGAACGCGCTCTGCTAACTGCGCAGTAAGCAGCGACTGCGCTTGTGCTGCGCTGAAGTGTGGGCAACATTATAAGGATTTATTTGTTGAATATTTTAATTTCTAGACGTACAATCTTAATAAAACTTTCAGAACATAATCATAATATTCAAATGTATGTACATTTTAAAGCACAAATCTCTAGTACTTGAAATACGCCTTTTACAAAGGTGAGGATGAGGGGGTGGATATAGAGGTGGGGGGTAAATTACAACAAAAATCGAAATTATATAAAATGCATATAAGTCTACATATAAAATTTGGAAGCTCTAGCTCTAAAGATGTAGGAGGTATAATTAAATAACCAGCTTTCGATAAGGTTTTTGATTGATAATAAAATATCGGGAGTAGTTATCGATATAAAAAGAAAAACTTTATATGCGCGTGATATACACGGACCTAGGAAAAAAAATTTCATGTCTCTAGCTCTTATATCTTCTGAAATCGACGCGTTCATACATACGGACGGACGGACGGACAGACAGACGGACAGGGCCAAATCGACTTAGCTCGTCGCCCTGATCAAGAATATATATACTTTGTGGGGTCTGCCACGCCTCCTTCTGTCTGTTACATACTTTTAACAAAACCATTATACCCTGATTTCCCATTGTAAATGGGTTCAGGGTATAACAAGTAAGAAAGCTCTAGTCGAGACTACTCGACTACGAGATCCCCTGAACCCTTGGAGTAATAGCTATTTCAATAATTTTTCGCGTCTTTCAGCTTACACAAGAAACACGCACACACACACACACACACGCACGCACGCACACACAGGCATACATACACACACATACATACACACACATACACACACACACACATACACAAACAATTACATACATATACACACACAAGCATAAACACGCATGGGCGGCAGTGAGCGCTTACTATGAGAACTTAATTGCTTATTAACTTTTTTTGTGGACGTACGATCTTCATGAAACGTTTGGATTATGATTATAACATAGATATGCATGTAATTGCCAAAGCACAAGTCTCTAGTATTTGAAATACGCTTTTTACAAAAGTGAGGGTGAGGGGGTGAATTTAAGGATGAGGGCTAAATTTTAACAAAAACCGAAATTGTATAAATTGTATATAAGCATACATTAAAAATTTGAAGACTCTAGCAATAAAGGTGTAGAAGATATAATTTTATAACTGGTTTTCGATATGGGTTTTTATCGATAAAAAAAGATCGGGATGAGCTATCGGTTTTTAATGATAAACTTGATATGCGCGCTGTAATTACGGACATTATAAAATAAATTTGAAGTCTCTAGCTCTTATATCTTCTGAAATCGACGCGTTCATACATACGGACAGACGGACAGACGGACGGACGGACAGACGGACAGACGGACAGACAGACGGACAGGGCCAAATCAACTCAGCTCGTCGCCCTGATCAAGAATATATATACTTTGTGGGGTCTGCCAGGCCTCCTTCTGCCTGTTACATACATTTCAACAAAACCATTATACCCTGATTTCCCATTGAAAATGGGTTCAGGGTATAAAAAGTCATGGTCCAGGAGTAACCCCAGCAGACATCCGGAACGGCACGCATATACTGTTAAGAATGATTCAACGAACACATATCTCAGACGACATAAATGCTCTTCGAAATAAAGGAATGGTTCCGTCATCCAGCAGTCTAGCTTCGCTGTCACCGTTCCTTGATGAAATTGGGCTGCTACGTGTCGATAGTCGTCTCAAAAACTCAACTTTAAACTTCGATAGTCGCCATCCAATCATTTTGCCCAAAGTTCATCCAGTAACTAATGCATTTCCATCAGCGAAACTTGCACGCTGGTCCCCGAGCAGTGCTAGCGATGGTTCGTTCCCAATATTGGCCAATTGGAGGTAGAAAAACTGTATCCAGTGTAATTCAGAGATGCGTAATTTGCTTTCGTGCAAGGCCTCGACTCGTTGAGCACATAATGGCAGATCTACCCAAGGATCGAATCGACGGCTATCGGGTCTTTGGAGTGACTGGAGTCGACTTTTGCGGACCCTTCTTTTACAAGCCTGAGGCACGAAACAAGGCGCCTGTGAAATGCTACGTTTGTGTGTTTATTTGTTTTGCTACGAAGGCTATATGGTTGGAGTTAGTCAAGGATTTAACTACCGCGGCATTTTTGCATGCACTTCAACGTTTCATATGCACCAGAGGAAAGCCAAGTCAAATCTGGTCGGATAACGCCACAAACTTTCTTGGTGCCCGCAACCAGCTTCAGGAGTTGAAGCGTCTATTTCTGTCAGACAACCACCAGTAGGCTGTGAAGGATTTCTGTTTGGCAGACTCAATCGAATGGCATTTCATCCCTCCACGATCGCCTCACTTTGGTGGCTTGTGGGAGGCTGCAGTGAAGACAGCGAAGCATCATTTTTACCGATGTGTTGGGTCCTCCGTCCTAACTTACGATGAGCTTCGCACACTGGTTTCAACATCGCTGCTGTCGTTAATTCACGCCCTTTAGTTTCGATTTCAGAGCGCCCATCAGACATAGACGTGTTGACTCCAGCGCATTTCCTCAACGGTGGCCCTCCTTCGTCCTTCAGTGAGCCAAACCTGACCGGGCTCAATTTTAATCGTTTGGATGCTTGGCAGCGCATAAGCTATCTCCAGCAGGTGCTCTGGACTCGTTGGCGGGACGAATATCTCAACTTGTTACAACAGCGAGCGAAATGGAGAACCTCCAAGCCTGGCTTGGCTGTTGGCAACATAGTTCTTGTGAAGGATGAGAATCTATCTTCACTTAAGTGGCCACTAGCCAGAATAATCGAACTTATCCCTGGAAGTGACGGCGTTGCACGGGTAGCCCTACTATTTTTAGAAGCTGGCTGAAGCTGGCGAGGTGTAGAAGATATAATTTTATAACTGGTTTTCGATATGGGTTTTTATCGATAAAAAAAGATCGGGATGAGCTATCGGTTTTTAATGATAAACTTGATATGCGCGCTGTAATTACGGACATTATAAAATAAATTTGAAGTCTCTAGCTCTTATATCTTCTGAAATCGACGCGTTCATACATACGGACAGACGGACAGACGGACGGACGGACAGACGGACAGACGGACAGACGGACAGACAGACGGACAGGGCCAAATCAACTCAGCTCGTCGCCCTGATCAAGAATATATATACTTTGTGGGGTCTGCCAGGCCTCCTTCTGCCTGTTACATACATTTCAACAAAACCATTATACCCTGATTTCCCATTGAAAATGGGTTCAGGGTATAAAAAGTCATGGTCCAGGAGTAACCCCAGCAGACATCCGGAACGGCACGCATATACTGTTAAGAATGATTCAACGAACACATATCTCAGACGACATAAATGCTCTTCGAAATAAAGGAATGGTTCCGTCATCCAGCAGTCTAGCTTCGCTGTCACCGTTCCTTGATGAAATTGGGCTGCTACGTGTCGATAGTCGTCTCAAAAACTCAACTTTAAACTTCGATAGTCGCCATCCAATCATTTTGCCCAAAGTTCATCCAGTAACTAATGCATTTCCATCAGCGAAACTTGCACGCTGGTCCCCGAGCAGTGCTAGCGATGGTTCGTTCCCAATATTGGCCAATTGGAGGTAGAAAAACTGTATCCAGTGTAATTCAGAGATGCGTAATTTGCTTTCGTGCAAGGCCTCGACTCGTTGAGCACATAATGGCAGATCTACCCAAGGATCGAATCGACGGCTATCGGGTCTTTGGAGTGACTGGAGTCGACTTTTGCGGACCCTTCTTTTACAAGCCTGAGGCACGAAACAAGGCGCCTGTGAAATGCTACGTTTGTGTGTTTATTTGTTTTGCTACGAAGGCTATATGGTTGGAGTTAGTCAAGGATTTAACTACCGCGGCATTTTTGCATGCACTTCAACGTTTCATATGCACCAGAGGAAAGCCAAGTCAAATCTGGTCGGATAACGCCACAAACTTTCTTGGTGCCCGCAACCAGCTTCAGGAGTTGAAGCGTCTATTTCTGTCAGACAACCACCAGTAGGCTGTGAAGGATTTCTGTTTGGCAGACTCAATCGAATGGCATTTCATCCCTCCACGATCGCCTCACTTTGGTGGCTTGTGGGAGGCTGCAGTGAAGACAGCGAAGCATCATTTTTACCGATGTGTTGGGTCCTCCGTCCTAACTTACGATGAGCTTCGCACACTGGTTTCAACATCGCTGCTGTCGTTAATTCACGCCCTTTTAGTTTCGATTTCAGAGCGCCCATCAGACATAGACGTGTTGACTCCAGCGCATTTCCTCAACGGTGGCCCTCCTTCGTCCTTCAGTGAGCCAAACCTGACCGGGCTCAATTTTAATCGTTTGGATGCTTGGCAGCGCATAAGCTATCTCCAGCAGGTGCTCTGGACTCGTTGGCGGGACGAATATCTCAACTTGTTACAACAGCGAGCGAAATGGAGAACCTCCAAGCCTGGCTTGGCTGTTGGCAACATAGTTCTTGTGAAGGATGAGAATCTATCTTCACTTAAGTGGCCACTAGCCAGAATAATCGAACTTATCCCTGGAAGTGACGGCGTTGCACGGGTAGCCCTACTATTTTTAGAAGCTGGCTGAAGCTGGCGAGATTAGAAGAGCTACAAATAAGCTGTGCTTTTTGCCCCTTAAGGATTCTGTTGAAGACTAAGTCTTCAACGGGGGGAGGATGTTGGGCTCAGCAATCATCGCTTCATTGTAATTAAGAGCGGCAGTTCATAGAATATGTTATCATTTAAGAGAATTTGTAACGGAGATCACGCTCTCCCTTTTGCGTTGTCTCTTTCACCCACGCACCGGCTCAGCTTAATCCGCCGGCTCGCGTACATTGTAGTTAGTATGCAATTAACTCTTGTTTAGAGCAGATGCAGTGTTAGATTGACTATTACAAACATAGTAGCGGACAGCACGACAGCCTAGTCACTTGCTCGCGTCTATCACATAAACTCTGTAAATTCTAATAATCGCTAATAAACTAATCATTAAGTAAATTAAATCGTTTAATAATTTAAAGCTATTCGAAAAATCTCGATAGCTCAACACCCTTTAAATTGGATGAAATCCAGGACACAAGTCTAGCTGAAAAACCTAAACGTTCAAGCTTTAGAATAAGTATCTGATGATGTACTGAGTCAAAGACTTTACTGAAGTCAGTATAAATAACATCAGTTTGCATTTTTTTAAGAAAAACTGTCATTGACAAGAGAAGTAAATTCTAGTAAATTAGAGGACGTTGATCGATTTTAGTTTTAATGTTTCTCAAATTCGAAAGAATCTTGGTAAACCAAGGTGGCTTATTTGAAACTGGCGGAATACGGCAGAGAGGGACACAAACATCCATAATAGAGTTTAAGGTAGAATAAAAAAACGATGCTTCCAAATTAATATCAACCGACTCATATAAAATAGACCAGTCTGTTGAATTAATTAATTCGTTAAGCAAAACAAAATTGTATTTACGATAACAGCGATTAAGTTTAGAAGGCATTGGAGTATTAGTGGGAGGATTATCAACAGTTAATAAAACCTCTAAAGTGGGGTGATGTGTATCCTCTGGTAAGCAGAAAGGAGTTGATCTCGCGACATTAATGATCGAATCATGATTAACAAACACTAGATCTAGAGTGCGATTTAGATGGTTTAAAATAGAGTTCAGCTGAAACATAGGCAGGTTAAACAATTCATCAAAAAGATAGTGATCAATTGTCGGAATAAAGTAATTTGCATTACAAATTGATGACCAAGAAGTGTTCGGAATATTAAAATCAGCCCACACAAGAAGCAAGTCTCTATCATTTACATGCTGTTGAGCATAAACTTGTACATCAGAAGAGGGAGGGATATAAGAACATATGATAAACAATGAGCACGATTGGAGACTTAATTTAACCACTATAATCTCCGCATCATGAAGTTTAACAAGTAAGAAAGCTCTAGTCTACCCTTCGAGCAATTGCTATATTACACACACGCACACACACACAGACTCATACACACACCCAAACGCAATGCTGAGGCCAGAGCATGCCAAATGGTAGCCCAAATACAAAGTGCCTGCAATAGCAGCATGTTACGCCACAAGCAGTTCACGCGACAACAAGAGCCTACGTATTGGTGGAATGCACAAATAGGTGACATTCTTCGCAAATGCATCCAGGCGAGAAGAAGCTACCAACGGGCTCGCGGTAGGTCTACGTTTTTTGAGAAACAATTAGCTTACCAGGCAGCTAGAAGACAGCTGAAGAGGGACATTCGGGCAAGCAAAAGAGAATGCTTTTTAGAGTTGTGGCCCTGGATCCGAGTCTGCTGATCAGGGCTCAACGAGCACTGAAATTGTTTTAGTGACAGAGGAAGAAATCACAGTAACTCTCCGGGGTCTTAGAACCAACACTGCTCTAGGGCCGGACGGGATCCCAAATCGTGCGCTAAAGTTAGCCCTCGCCTTGCACCCTAGTACGTTCGCTGAATTATTCAACGAATGTCTAATTCAAGAGACGTTCCCGGCAAAATAGAAAGCCCAGAACCTGGTGTTGCTACCCAAGGCCGGCAAACCACCAGATGAGCCATCTTCATACAGACCGATCTGTCTCTTAGACACCATGGGAAAGTTGTTTGAGAAATTGATCTGCTCTAGACTGGAGACTGCGATTACTAGCGCCGGAGGCCTGTCACCAAATCAATTTGGATTCTGGAAGGCCCGGTCAACAACGGATGCTCTAGAAAAAGTTGTTGGTCTGGCCACTTCCGCCATCCATGGCACAAGATGGAAGCATGGGACGAAGGAATACTGCATTATTGCGTCTCTGGACGTAAAGAATGCTTTCAATACAGCTAGTTGGGATATGATACTGAATGCGCTGTCACAATATAATATCCCCAAATATCTTAAAGAAACAATAAAGAATTACTTCAGAGGAAGAACACTGGTATACAATACGAGTGAGGGTCCCCAAACTCATACAGTGTCAGCTGGAGTACCCCAAGGCTCAGTGCTGTGGCCTCTCCTATGGAATATCCTGTACGACGGCGTACTGCGCTTGGAACTACCAGCATGTGCGCACACCATTGGCTTTGCTGATGATGTAGCTGTCGTAGCCATAGGAAAGGAGCTCAAAGATACAGAGGATATGTGCAGCGAAAGTATCAATCGCATACGAAGCTAGTTGACTGGAGCTGGGCTCGAGCTAGCGGCACACAAAACTGAAGTTGTCCTAGTCAGCAGTCGCAAAAGAGTGGAGTGCCAATATAAAGATCGGCAGCGTCACCATTGCGTCAAAGAGGGCGATAAAGTATCTTGGTGTCATGATAGACACAAGATTATCTTTCCGTGAGCACTTAAAGTATGTGCATAAAAAGGCAGCTGATTCTTGTAGAGCTCTCTCGAGAATTATGCTTAACACGCGGGGACCTAAACAGCAACGACGTCTCCTTCTAATGAGCGTCATTAGGTCCGTCATCCTCTATGCTGCGCCAATATGGTCAAGAGCGATGGCAACGCCGAGCTACAGCCGGGGCATTTTCGCGATCTACAGACTGAGCGCAATCAGAGTCAGCTGCGCTTTCAGGACTATCTCCGATAACGCGGCGCTCGTCATAGCTGGTATGGTACCACTGGAGTACTTGGTCGCCGAAGCCGTGGAGCGGAATTCGCAAGCGCCTGCGCAACTCAACGCTATCAGGGCGAACAGCATTGCACGATGACAAAGAAAGTGGAATAGCTCAGCTAAAGGGCGGTGGACGCACAAGCTCATCCCGGAGCTTGAACCATGGGTCAACCGCAAACACGGCGAGGTAAACTTCTACCTTACGCAGATCCTCTCGGGACATGGATGCTTTCGGAGCTATTTGAAGCGCTTTGGCCACGAGGAATCTGACGAGTGCCCCTGGTGCGAGCAAGGGCATGTGGAAGACGCCAACCACATTCTTTTCGAATGTGGACGGTTCCTGGAGGAGAGGCGTCGTCTGGAAGAGGCAACGCCATGCTGGAATCGGAGGAAGCTTGGGAACTAACAAGCACCTTCGCGGCCACAGTGATGATGGAGCTCCGCAGAGTCGAGCGAATGAGAAGACGAGCTGTCCCAGGCTAAGGTAGCGCACAGTGCTTGCGAAGCAATGCTTTACAGCCGTCCCGCAACTTGCAACTTGTATTATAAAGATTGTCAATAAACAAATATAAAAAAAAAAAAAAAAAAAAAAAAAAACACACACATACTAACACGCACACACACACATACACACACAAGCGCCCACGCTATTGATCCAAGGGTTCAGGAGATCTCGTAGTCGAGCAGTCTTGACTATAGCTTTCTTACTTGTTAAGTTTAGAATTTAAGCCATGTACATTTTGATAAATCAGGGACAGCTGAGAAGTAGATTGTATACTCTTTATTATTTTGGTATAATGTTCGATGATAATTGCACCGAGGCTTGATTTAAGGAAACAGTAATCGATTTGTTACGATTCTTAGGTTTGAATTCATGCACAACTACATGAGATGGCCAGAATTTAGGATCACATATAGTTGTAAACGGCACATTAATGAGGGAAGCATTTTCTCGCGGAGTTGCGAAACTAAACTTCGATATAAAAACATTCGTTGAAATCTTGCTTGAAATAAAAGCAGATACTGCTTTCGAGGAGAGACGACAGATAAGGTGATACCAGGAGTGGCTGGCTTATTGTCACTCTTTGTTTGAACAACTATAAAATAACTATCCAATTTTTGACCAGGGACTTGAGTTTCAATAGCAGCATCAATAGGAGAAACAATAGATTAGTATGCATCAAATTATCGCACAACAAGAAATTTATAAATTGCGCTTGTGCAGAGTCAACTGCCTGCCTGACAGTGCAAGATTTTTTGCAGCAACTCATATTGGCAATTGAGATCAAACCGAATTACAGAATAAAACAAGTAAGAAAGCTATAGTCGAGACTGCTCGACTAGGAGATACCCTGAACCCTCTAAGCTGATATTCTACTCATTCCGCACTTCTTTTAAGCACAC